ATTATCGATCATTATCAAGTGAAATTTATAAAGGATTATCATTATTTAAATTATTAAATTATTTATGTTGTTTACCAAATGGTATTGAATCTGATTTACTTGAAATTTATGATTGTCTTTGTTCAACATTAAATTTTATTCGTTTTATTGGTTTAATTGATAAACGAAATATAAATCAAACATTAATATGGACAGAACATTTAAATCATTTAAATGAAACATTTATAAAACCATTAAGAAAATCAATTGAATTAGCACGTGCACATTATAAACTTGAAATAAAAAATAAAAAAGAAGATAATAAACCACAACAAATGGATACAGAAATATTAGTAGATAGTAAACCTTTATCAATGCCTAGTAAACAAGAACAATTAGAAACTTTACATTCAGCCGTAACAAAATTTGATATTCTTGATTGTATACTTAGCACTCTTAGTGAAACATTTGGTGGGGAATTATGATTGGTTTATCGTGATATATTTTATTGCTTTCATATTTGTTTTTTTAATCATATATTACATAGTAGTCGGAGAATAGTCCGCTATCAAAGATTTTAAATAAAACGTTTGGTAGAACATAAATTGTGGTCTATTCATTATTATCAGACAAATTGTTTTAGTTATCTATTTCAATAGATTTACTTATATATTGTATAAGATTTTATTCAAAAGTTTTGAGTATTTGTTTAATAAAACATTAGTAAGTAAATATTTTCATTAAAAAACTATTGATAATATTCATAATAGAATGACTTTACTGCAGAATAATATCTAAATGTGAATTATTAATGAATATAGATCAAATAGATACTTCTTGCAAATTAACTATTTAAAAATATTATGAAACTTGAAACAATATTTAGTTTTTCATTTTATTCGACTTAAATCTTATCGAACAAATAGTAAAACTATACAAAACATTAAAAAAGACGAAAACTTTAAAAAGTTGTATGTGATAGTCTATTATCAAACAAACACAATGTTAAGGAAAAACACTACAGACAAAGTTCTTGATTATTGTTTATGAATTATATGCAAAAGAATATTTTATAATTGTTACTAAATCATTTTCTCTTTTAGACTACTTCAAACTATTATCCATTAGAAGTCGCCTAAGATTCATGATTTCTTACCTTCAGTCGTCCTTTTTATTACTTTAGAAAAACAAAATTAAGAAAAACAATAAAATATTAAACTAAAACTTGTAAATCGACAAGTTTTAGTTGTGTTCATAAGAGATTATTGTAGCAAGAATTGTTTCAATTATTTTTGTTATTTGATTGATGTTACTTGAAACGATAGATTTCAGATTAAGATGATGAAATACAGGACTAATCATTAGACAAACTCATTGATATTTAACTCACACCATCAATTTGAATACCATCTAGTTTTAGATGTCTTTCTCCTAACCGCTTTTTAATTGTAATAAGTGGATTTTGTAGGTAAGGTGAAGGTCTTTTAATAATAATAAAAAATAGTGATTTTAGCTCTTGTCGTTGAAGATCTCCACTGGACGTACTCAATAGCCTAAGAATCGTTTTTCGAGATTTTTTTTTAGGGTCATATTTCGACTATACAGTTGGAACGATTAAAATTACAAACTTGATATTTATAACAGTGTTAGAGGACTATACAATGTACCTGTTGAAGCAAAAATAATTTTTTATTATTATTTTCATATGAAAAGGGATACTATATCAGAGATTGGTCATGGAACTAACTTAAATCCAAAAACATTGAATATTAATCTCGTTCAAACTTTTTATTTCTCCGTGGAAAAACAGTTGATCCCGTCACCAAAAATACTTATTTCAATATGATCTTTCATTTGATATAAGATAGTAGGGATGCCAATGGATCGATTTACGACCAAACACATTCCCTTCGTTTCTTTTAGAATATTTATTTTTCAGAAAAACATACACAATTTTTTAAATTCCACTTTCAATATGACAAAATCAGTTCACTACAATGAATATTGTATATATATTAGGGGTGGACCAGTTAATTTAACGCGAGTTAATTAACGGCGTTAATTAACTAAAATCGTTAACCGTTAATATTAACGGTTAACGGTTTCCCTAGAAAAGTTAATTCGTTAATATAACGGTTAACGGTTTTAGTTAACGTTAATATTAACGTTAACGGTTTTTAGTTAACCGTTAATTCATTGTAAATTAACTCATTAACGTATAGACAACAATCATATATCATTTAATTTCGAATTTTTTATGAAAAAAATCGACGTTCATACAATAACTATTTTCATGGTGTAGATGAGGATGTAAGTGTGAAGTAGGCATCGAAATTATATGAGTAGCTGCCTAATTCGAGTTCGAATATAAATGGAGATTTCAAAGACAAATCTCAGCATAAAATCAATCCTGGACGAAGACATAGTTTTAGTTATTTACACTTATAGCTTATATTAAGACATATATACGTCAGTATATGTGAATTATAACTTGAGAGGGAAGATACCCAACTAATCCACGCCGTTCTCAATGATATTTTGTCCATGTGTTGGGATTATTATTCTAAGAAAAATCCTAAGGGGGTTTGGGCTGATGGTGCTACTTTCGAAGGTTATGGCCATTTTACTGATTTTTCGGCCTATGGTAAGGTATTTACAAAAAAATCGGATAACGAAATTTTGACCTGATATTTTGCCCATATGTAGACCGCATGGCCCTTATTAAGCGCTACAAGTTTGAGTGAAACAAGGTGTTTTTTTCTCGAGATAATGAATTTGTAAGAAATACCCACATTTCACAGAGAGCTCAGAAAAATTGAGTTTTCTTGGACATCCATTATCTCAAGAACGAAACATCATTTTTCGCTGAAACTTTTAGCATATACTAAGAACCATGAGGCCTACATATGGGCAAAATTTCAGATCAAAATTTCGTCATCCAATTTTTTTGTAAATATCTTGGCATAGGCCGAAAAATCAGTAAAATGGTCATAGCCTCTGAAGGAAGCACCATCAGCCCAAACTCTCTTAAGATTCTTCTTAGAATAATGATCCCGGCATATAGACAAAATATCATTGAAAACGGCATGGATCAGATAGGGATCTTCTCTCGTAAGAAGAACTTTAAAAAATCTATTCCTAACAATTCCTATTCTTACAGGAAAACATACATATGACCTATTTTCAAAAAAAACGAGTTGCCCAGAATCTTTTTGACGGTTCTGACGCTGGATACTACCCGAAATCATCAAAATGGTTCTGACTGAAAAGAGGTTCCACAAAAAAGGAACAAAATCATTTATGATTTTTTAATAAAAATGGTTCAGTCCTACGGATAAAGTGCGGCATTAGTCAAACCTATCCCTTATCTCTATAGAGCATAAATAAAAAAGGTTTTCTCCGAATCCTATAAAGGGTTTCCGGGTTTGTCACTATATGAAACTCTTTATAGGTTTCCGAGAATGGTTTTCAAGCTCTCATAAACCGTCAAAACCAATCGAAAAAGCTCATGATCTCCGAAACCTAGCCACAAAACGATTCACTAATCAATATCTGTCGCCTTCTTCCAATCGCCTATTCTAAGCTCTAATCTGGATCCTTATTCTATCCCCATATTCTAACCTATGTTTTGGACCTTAATATTAAGCTATCTCCTGGAATCCTTAAGATTTCAGGCTGAAATTTTTATCACAAGGTGCCCAGCCCAAGATACATCTACTCTGAAAATTTCGTTAAGATTCGATGTTCTATGGCAAAAATAAAATTTTGGGTGGGGGGTGGGCCTTAAGTTGGCGTAAAGAACGAAGTGCTGGTCTTCCAAATATGAAATATGATAAAGATATTTGGAATTCACAAAAATATTTAATTGAAGCAACAATACCAGAAATGTCAATTTGTACTGATTGTATTCTATCACGTTTAACAATTATTAATGTTGAACAAGCTGATTTAGGTAATTATTATATTAATGCAACATCACCTGGCTTTCTATCTGAATATGGAAGAATTAATCTTTATCGTAAGAAGAATATTATTATTTATTTAAAAAAAAAACCAATAACATCAAATTATTTTTGGTCTATTTAGAAACATCTGATTGTCAACAATTTATTACTCATCGAAATAATAAAGGATGTAAAAGAATTTATACTCAACTATCGTCCAGCAATAAGATATTTTCAAGATTTTATACATTCCATTTTTTATTTTTTGTTTTGTTTATTCAATTATTTTAAATATTCTATTTGTTAGTTGTTCTTTTTCAATAATGTATCTTGTATTCTTAATGTGCATGTCAGATAATTCTTTCGTGTTTGCTCTTTTGATTTTTTTTTTTTTTTGAAAAAAAAATTTGACAGCTTTATAACAAGACATAACAATAAGAGTTGAAATACATAAAAGAAAACAAATAGAATAATTGACAATTTGTAAAACGTCTTCTAACACTATTTGTGGAAGTATCATTCAATTACGCCAAACTTTGAGGATTTATAGAGCTTTTTGTGCGAATCATTTTGTCTATAAAAAAGTTAAGACGTATTTAAAATAATGAAGAACGAGTTGAAATACTAAACATACTATTTCATCAAAAATCCCATGCTTTTTCAATGATATAATTAAATCACATCATGAATTCTCACTTTTATTTCACTTATTAATCCATTCATGACGAAATTTTGCTCGTAAAATCTTGTAGCCCATATGAAGCTGCATCGAACTATGTATAATTAAAAGATTTTTGCGAGAAGAAATATGTGATTCATCAGTGTACTAACATGATGTCTGTAGACCATTATCAAATAAATTAGTGCTGAAAGTATTTCAAAAAATCATAAACAAATTTGGAATTCTACAGCCTAGCGCTATGAAGGATTCAAAAGAACGAAGCTTGCTCTATTTAGTCCTATAATTAGTTTTGTTGAACTTACATATATTTTCGAAGAAAATATTGAGTGTAAGTTTTAAGTTCAAGTTTTCATGGCTTTCCCCACCCCTCCTCATTACAGACACTTAGCAACGCAGGTCCCCATTACAGACTTTAGCAATTAAGAATAACAGGTGTCAGACTTTCTAGTTTTTTTGAAAAATTGATCAAGTTATAATTTTGAAAGATAATCAACATCATTGTTTATGAGCTGATTAAGATATATATATATAATAGTGCGTAAGATCTTCTGTAGATATTATGGATATGTGAAACAGATTTATTTACCAATTAATTCAATGATTATTATAATAAGAATGTTGAATCATGAAAAACAAAAACAAAAAAAATGAAAGGTAATGAACGAATAGCAATAATGCAAAATAAAAATAGGGAGTCCGTAGGAAAAAAAAATTTCTGTTCGAAATACAGAAATTAGAAAGGTTCTTACTCTGATTTTCGATTATCCTACAAAACAACTATAGTCTACGAGAGATTTCTCATCTTACATATTTTGTATTAGTTTAATGAGACTAGAGAGCATATATGACTTCCACATTTCAGTCCCAAAGGGGCTGCACTAACAAGCTTTTTCACGGGAATGAGATTTCATTATGAAAAAATGATCAAAAAGAAAAACTATCGTTTTTTCTCTTCTGAGAAAAATATTTTGATCATGTTCTAGAGATATTTCAACATTCAATCCTTTATTTTGAACTTAATATCAAAATTCGATATTAAACTCGCAATTTGAATGAGAATTATATCAGAAACATACATAGACTTGTTTCAAGTCGTCTTAATTTTTTCTGATTTTATAGTCAAGTATTCCTTCTTTTCTATGTAATTCTGTATATCGTTCAAAAATTCGAATAAATCTTACAATATGTATCTTTCTTACGACAAAACTCAATAATAAGATCTCGAAATATAAAGGGTGTCCCATAATAACTGATGATAAATTGTTAATGATATCTTTCATATTTTTTCTTGACCTAGACCGCTGAAATTTTTACCATATATATATATATCTAATTAAGATCTTTTATTTCTGAAAATTGCAGTTCTCTAGCTATGACTATTGGTGAAGCATATTGACAAGATTGAAATACTTAAATTTTCGTACTCGATTTTTGCATTTTATTTCGCCTGTAAAAATAATGCAAAAATCAAATACGAAGATTTAAATATTTCAATCTTGTCAATGTGTTTCACCAATAATTATAGCTAGAGAGCTGCAATTTTCAGAGATAAAACATCTTGATGAGATATATATGTGATATAAATTTCAGCGCTCTATGTCAAAAAAAAAGTATATAAAAAATATTATTAACAAGTTATCATCAGTTATTATGAGATACCCTTTATCATGTTACACATCATTGACGCGATTTTTCGATATATAGCGTGTCCGGAAAGTTACTAAAGTTAGAAAAATTTGAATATCTTCATCACTCTTCAATCAAATGAGCTCAATTTTTTTCTGAAGATAGAGGATGGATAGAAGTTTTTATTCGTGAAGAAACAGTCTATTTATGTGCATGAAACCAGCAAACTTTTCTTCACTATATAAGTAGACTACGTGCAAACGTTTGCTACTCATAGTTATAGTCCGATACTGTAGGATATTCTTTTATTTATTTATCAAGTAATGTAGCTGATATATAATGCAGTAATACTAGTATGAAAGAAATTGTCCTTCATTGTCCAAGCAATCAGGGAAACATTGCAAAACAGAGCGACATGCTTTGCGGCACATTTCTTCTGGTACCTCTCCGCAAGCTTCTTCAATTCTTTCTTGAAGTGCTGTAATGGTAGCAGGTGACGTTTTAAAAACGATGTCCTTTAAATAGCTCCAGAGAAAGAAATCACACGAACTTAAATCTGGTGCACAAACTGGCCAGTCGAATGAACTACGTCTGCCTATCCAAAGGTCTGGGAATTTTTCGTCGAGTCATTTTCGAACAATAACAGCATAATGAAATCCTGCTTCATCATGTTGAAAGTAAAATTTTTTGCGTTTCAACTGTGGCCATGCGTAATTAACCAGCATTTCTTTATACAATGTGTCAGTGACGGTATCGTTAAAAAAATATGGACTAACAAGTCCATCAGAACTTAGTTCGTACCAAACCATGACTCCTTGCTGTGTATTTGATACTTCAAATTTAAGTGTGGATTTTCTTTGGTCCAATACGTGCAATTGTGTTGATTAACTGTTGTATTCATATTAAATTTGGCTTCATCGCTACAGAATATACAATCGATTAGATCGGGATCATTCTCGAATTTTTCGATCCATGATTCGCAAAACTCGCTGCGACGATCGGAATCATCTTCATTAAGGTCTACGATTAACACTGAACGATCGGATTTAAAGTGAAGTTGCTTCATAGTCACTTGATAAGTAGTTTTGCTTATACCAGCTCGAGCAGCACCTTGACGAATAGATAGTTGTGGATTGCTAGTGACCATTTCTTCAGCCTCCTCCAGTTTTCTTCAGAAAGTATAGTTGGTCGACCATTATCTGGTGAATCTTCAACTGTTCCATTTTCATCAAACTTCCTGTTTATTGACGAAATTGTGGCTAAATGAGGCGGAGTTGTATCAAAATGATTCGACCATTGCCTTTGTACTTCACTCGCACTTTCAAATTTCGAAAAAAGTCGGACAATTGCAACTCTTTCATCAGTAGTGCAAGTTGCATACAAATTGAAGAGTCGTAAATGAAATAAGTGATGTTGTGCTGTACTATCATATGGATTATTTTTCGTATCCATTGTTTTTTTTTATTTTTTCCTTTCGTTATCTTCAAATACGCGTGCTTTTACTCACATGAGTGCATACATATGTACATACGTGTGTATTAATCTATCTGCTACGTGTTTCGAAAAAAAAGAGAAACATAATAACGGTTAAACTTAGCAAATGATTTAGTTTTTACCAGAAAAGCACAATAAAAACAGAGTTATTTTTAGATGGTAAATAAATCCCCATTATAGCTATTTAGTGATATGATAAAGAAAAGTTTGCTGGTTCATACACATAAATAGACTGTTTCTTCACGACTAAAAACTTCTATCTATCCTCCATCTTCAGAAAAAAATTCAGCTCATTTGGTTGAAGAGTGACGAAGATATTCAAATTTTTCTAACTTTAGTGATTTTCCGGACACCCTATATATACGTATAAAATTATCGGTAGCAACTATTGAATTCTGATGCAGTTATGAATTAATACGAATTTTTCATGATGTAGTAAAATATTTCAAATGTTTGTATTGATGGCAAGATTTATCAACAGATAATTCGAATTTTTGGCTATGTGCGTGACGAAACAATACATAATTTATGCAATAACCACCTTTAATATATGGTGAATAAACAAGAAATGAATTGTCGTTTAACCAATTGATCAAGAATCAACGAGAATGTTTACGATCATCCGAATATAACGTTGGAAACGAATATTTACTATCAGGTTTAAAATGATTTGTTAACAGAGAATATTTCAAATGATCATCAATTGATAATTTATTTAATACATAATAATCGATATCATTTGGATTGGTGTCGGGTCGAGAATGAATCACATTCAATTCATTACTTTCGACATTAAAATTAACTTCATCATTCATCTGACCTAAATCTTCAGAATCACTGGATAAAAATAAACTAGAATCAGCATTAGTCGCTGTAGTTGTAATTGTAGTAGTTGCAAGTGTATTTGAATCTTGTGTTAAATTTTCA